TGTTAGACATGAGTTGGAGGCTTCCACTTTTAAGTGTGGTAAGAAAAGGCCTACACCAATAGGTTTGGAGGCCTACAGGTAGATAATGTGAATTTAAGAAAGCAATCATCTTCCTGAAATTGCTGAGGCTCCTCAGCTGTCAGAGCAAGCTGTGGAAACTGGAGAACTTCAGTACTTTTGAACATGTAGCCATAAACAAATTAGCATCCTAGGACTTGAGAGCCTGACAGCCTGATTGAAAGTGTTGGCTTCTGCCAATACCAGTTCTGAAAAGAATGCAAAGTCAAACTGCAAAACCTGGCAAGGACATGCCAGAACTTAAGATGCTTTGAGCAACCTGAATCCATCACTTTTGTAAAGTCAGATTAGGCTGTCAAGGCTACTAAAGCATACACTCACTAGCCCTGCAGACACACAGCCCCTGCACATCACTTCGTGTGCAGGATATGCAGTGGTAGTTTAATACAACTATTTAATACAACTATCATATTTTTGATTTCTTTTAGCTTGGCTACTTAGTCTGGGAGCACCATATGTTTTATTTACTTTCATTTCAAACCTTACTCTGAAAGCCAAATTATCACGTTTCTTGTGGGTATTTTGGAGGTTCTCAACATTGTAGTGCATAAAAAGTTACCAGAGACTAACAGAATTACTTCTTCCCTCCTTGACGAGGTCAGAGCATAAGCACCGCTGTACAGAAAGTCGACAAAGGTAAGAGACCCCACAAAATCTGAGGGCGTACACTGAGATCCTTAGTGCTACGTTCTGCAGGCTGCTGTGCATTATGCAGTACTGACAGTGTTCAAAGTACCAACTTCACTTGTATCTGCAGAGCATTCTACACTGTAAACCCACAGAACTATTAAGCAGAGCAGGCTGAAAGATCAGCATCCCCACTGCCACAGAGAGAGTTAAAAATGTATGCCATTAGCCTTGGAGCCAAACATTTGAGGAAACTATCCTAAGCAGGTGGCACAAACAAGGGATACACCCACCTACAACTAAGGGAATAGGACAGAGCAAAGATTGTCTCAAAGAAACCTGCTTCCTGATTCTTGGAAGAAAGAAATACAGCTCTGTTTCTGTGATCATGATCAGGAGAAAAGAAGTATGCTGATTTGGCTGTCCTGTCAGGGGCAAGCAAACTGGGAGACTCTGTTCAATTCAGTTCCTCTCAAAGGGGTAAGAAATAGAGTGGGTCTCTCCTCTGCTACTCTTTCCACCCCACATCCTGGTTTATGATGGACTTTGTTCCTGTTGCTAGGAATTAGAGGACCTTTTGTGTCTGGGATGGGGGTGAGCTGCCAGTACTGTAGGGTACCCAAAGAAAGATGCTAGCGCAAGAACAGGTGGCAAATACCACACTGACAAACTAAACACAAAGTGATTGTTCTCAGAGGTTGTCCACAAGCCAAGATCTTCCCAGCACCACAAAGGAGACAAATTAGGTGACTTCAACCAATAAGTAATCCTCCCTGATCAAGGGCCTTTGCACTGCCCCTTGCACATCCCTTCCAACCTTTGCAGAAAACAAGCCTGCATCCTATGAACAGTCTGACAGACTAGGAAGCCCTAATACAGTCATGATCTTACAGTGATAGATAATGTCTAGGTATATGTTTGTGGAGGAGAGAAAGAAATATGTGAACATGTACCCAAGCACCAGAGAAAGAGGGCTGAACTGGGCTAGTATAGACTAAACCCTTTGAGTTGACTCTCTTCATTCATATTGTATTGCTGGAAGCAGACATTTGGAATGAGAACTTTTCTGCCTGGACTAATCAGGTTAAAAATGAACTATCTCCTGACCTGAAATTTAACACAACCAACCCAGACTAATCATTTTGTAGTATTTGGATGGTGACAAGCAAGAAAGTGGGGGACACAAAGCCCACCTCCAACCAGTTACTGGATGCCGTTAAGATGTAAATTACAAGGCTCTGAAAAATGGCAATCCCAGAGAACACAATTTTCCTCCTCTACTCACTCCCCACATGCCCTCAGACTCTTGCTGTAACAACTCGATACACTTCTAGTTAAATGTGCGGTTTGTACTCTGCTGCCAGATCAGACCACATTCAGACTTACACCCAGAGACTGTTCTGACTTTTGACAGCCTCTTCTCAGCTCTATCTAACAGCTTCCGTGCATCTGAACAAGTGTCAGACGTGCTGGTTAAGTCAGTTCCAGCTTCCCCTGTAGAGAGACAGTGCAGGAAAAATACCTTTTCTTCAACCCATGTTGCTAGCTACCATTTCCACAATTCCCTCTGCTACCCTTAGGGACTAAGCTCAGTTTTAGCACTCCAAATGACAAAACCAGCACTGTGCATGTAGAATTACATCAGTGCTGTATTTGTCTTTAGGACACACAGCCAGAGCCATAGAGAAACTACTGCACATTTAGCAAATCAACTTACCTGCTCCCAACATAACTGAGGGGTTGCTGGTGTTTGTACAGCTTGTAATGGCAGCAATCACTACTGAACCATGACCAAGCTCGAAGTCACAGTCCTCAAAATTAAATTTGACTACACTGTTGTGTCGGTCTGGGGCAATTTGGAATCCCTTGAACCCTTGCTGTAAGAGAAGAAAGTAAGAATCAGAAGGATGTGGTTAACATTAAGTATTTTGAACAGAAATTAGTATGGGCTGGGAACTTCATTAATGAGAAGCATCTGCCAGTCACATCTGTGCTTGCACTTTAACATCTGGTGGTAAAGGCTTACATCTCCAGTCAAAGTGGTGGACAAAATTTATTTTTCTGGGGTCTGTCCTATTCTCTGTTTACTGGTAAAAGGGGCAGCCTTTGCAGTAAAATGTGTTTGTGTTTTGTTCCTGCAAAATGTATCCTATCCTTCTTCAGATTGCTCAGATGCTTCTTGCTCCCATACACCCTAGATTTCTCACCACATAACGTCTTGTTACACAATCTAGTCCTGAGATTTTACCCATAACATGTAAGATTTTAAAGCTGTGAATATCCAGCAGCTCAAACTTACACTAAGAGTTGACCTGAGAGGCAAAAGCCTGACAGTTGAAAAAAAAACAAAGAGCAAGAAGGCACTGTTCACACCATGAAAAATTACACTGAGATCTGAAAGCATAAGGCATTTAATGGAGTTTGGAACACGTAACAAACCAAGAATTGCTGGGAGTTGCTGTAGTTCAAGTTTCTTGATTTACATCATGAGCCTTTAACAAGGGCAATTACCATATGAGGTGAGGATTCAAACTAATTTTTGAAATTTAAGTGTCTGGGCATTTTAATTCAAATTACAATCTTGCTCTTCTTCCACTTGTGACTAGATGATGTCTTTACCACCAACATCAAAGAGTCATGGAGATGCATGCAGTTCTGATCTGCTAAATAGATTCAGAACTGAATGCAAAACTACGTCGTGGAGCTCAGAGCACAACCTGCTTGGAAAGCTGAAGAACTGAGTAGTTAGCACTGAGCTCAGTGCAGTAGCTACTTGGTCCACCCTAACACTCATTGTGGGTAGTTCAGAAAGCCCTAGTGTATGTCAAAACCACGTTAGGCCTAAGATTGATCTAAAATCAGAAAGAACTAATACTTCAATAGGACATGAACACCTTCATGTGAGAGAAGTATCACCCCAATTTTAAACAACCCATCGCTGATACCATCTTCTAAACTGCATTCAAACATCAACATTTACTTTTCAACAGGTAAAAAAACAACACACAAGCTAACCCCAGAATGTAGCTCCTGAATACTAGACAACTTACAGAAGCACGTGCTAGTTTGTATGCCCAAATGTTCCTAGCCCCTACCTTGGCTCCCAGACAAGTCTCAAAGTCCTTTTTCATATCTGACACAGCAACTTTGTCCTGAGGTCTTTTTGGTCCACTGCAGCAAGGCACAACAGTATGGAGATCCAACTCAACAACCTATTCAGCAACAGGAACAGAGAGCAGTTCAGCACTGTATGCCAAGTTGAAGCCAGTTAAGCCACAGGTATGCTTACCTCTGCTGTTGAACCTCTGCACATCTTTATGGCTGCTTGCAGAAATTATCAAACACATATGAGAAGGGAAAGGTCAAAAGAAAAGGAACAGTTCTACTTTTAGACCCTGCCAGCTCCCAGGTATGGCTCTCAAAAGTACTCCGGTTATTGAAAACCCCAGGTGTGACTAAAGCATCTAAACATTATACATGATTTTGAGAATTACATCCTTTCACATGCTAGTAGCAAGGTCCTCTTCAGAAAACAATGATGTGAAGAAATGCCGGTACTGGCACAAACCAAAGCAGACTATTCACCCTGGCCTTGGGGAAAACGTTCAGTCTATTATGAAACAGAGATAATATTTTTCTGTTCCTCACCCATGTTTCAACTTTGTTTACATAGCGTGCTGCATCTTTCTGTAGTTACAAAGGTTTTTGAATAATCATGCAAACCTGAACATAAGTTACAAGATAAATTCTTCCTGTAGAGAAAACTGGGAATATTTTTGAGTTTCCTCGACAGAGAGCAAGATCTTGATTTTTCTGCATAGGAAATGGCCTGTGTGGACTGCGGTTACCACACAGAGCTTCTCAGTGTTCTGATTCACACAGTAAAATAAGTTGCTAAACAGAAGAAGGGTAAAACTGGGACAAGGCTTACGCAGACAACATCCGCACTATTTTCATAGCTGTATCTGACTCTGCACTGGACTTCTTAAAACTACATGGATCAAACTGCAGAATCTGCACCAGTTAGAGCTACGTGAAAGCCAATCTATACCTATGCCCAAGTTTTCACATCTGGAGAACCAGCTGACTCATTCCACTGCACCCTAAGTTGAGACAGCTATGTGGACCAAGCCAAAGGATAAGGAGTCCCTTGACTGTTTCTTACTTTCTGCGAAGGACAGACAACTGTCACACTAAAATAGGGTAAGACATAAAGCAAGGAGCCAGAAGACAGAGTAGTTTCTAACCTGTGTGAAGTCTGGATCCTGAGAGGAGTTCTTGAAATCTCTTAGCATTCCCACAGCCTCAAGATATTTTTTTGTGCACATAACTTTCTCTTTATCACGGCCTAAGGTGAAAGCCAGACACAGCAAAAACAAAATGCAAATGAAAGTGAGGAACTACTATATGACTAGGAAAAAAGCGTAACAGGCTATTTCATTATCCACACTGTACATCACACTGCAAGACCCTTTCAGCACAAGTACTGGAGACGCACTAGAAATGAAGTGATTGAGCAGACTTAGTGGCTTTTGCAAACAAAAACTTAGGTTCCTGCTTCTGACATCCAGAAAAGCTAGGTTCGGGAAGGGCTAAGCAGGCAATTAGCTGCAAAATGATCTAAAACTTGGCTTTTTCTAAGCATGGACCCCAAGAGCAATAAACAGCCTGAATAAGAAAGCACAGATTAAAAAAAAAAGCACTCAATCTCAGAAGGCTCCACCTGATTCAACCCCATTGCTCACTACACCATACAGCCCTGCAGTCCTTGCTTTCAATTACACCTGTAATTTGTGATCTCTTCTTACACTCACCAGTTTGTATGAGGTACCCAATGCTAATATCATCCACTGGGAAATAGGCAGCTGTTGCTCCGTACTCTGGACACATATTGGCAATAGTGGCTCGGTCAGCAATTGACAGCTGGGCTACACCAGGACCAAAAAACTCCACGAATTTACCCACGACTCCAACTTGGCGAAGGTGCTGTTGTAAAAATACAGTGCTTGTGTCATTGCTAGGTGCCAAATTACCTGGGCATGTATGTTATAAAATCCAGTTTTTTACTTCAGATAAACCTTTCTGGAAGGTTTCTATAGCCATCTGAAACCAGGAAGCTTTGGTAAACTAAATCACAAAGATGAGGACATAGAGACATAGAACTTCAATTATAAGGTGCAACAAAGAGAAGTATTCCTTCTAAACTTGCTCTTACTCTCATATAAACTAGAGTCTATCTTAGAATAACTGTATTTTTGCCACCATTATGTTCTAAAGAGAGAACAGAGTGGGGTCTTTAGTCAGCAAACCCAGGAAAGTGGGGAAAACAGGAAGAGCCAACTGCACAAGTACATGAATCAAACTGTAAACGACTGAACACACACAAGATCTGGATGAACTCATAAAAATACCTTGGCTTTTCCCATTTGGAGGTTCCCTCTAGAGACAGCGTTCCATGATGAACATGGGTACCACATTTCTGATCTCCAACATTAATGCTGACCCAGTAATACTCTTCATTCAGTCACAATCCACACAGTGAATAAACATATTATGAACATATGGCATGTGAGCCAAACATTTGCAGGATCAAAGAAATTACACTGTAGCACTAACTGTGTCTTCAGGTTTTACATTGCCTTATTTTAAGTGGGGACTTCAAAAAAAGAAAGTAATCGTGTTTCTTTTGAGGTGGTAGAGATCTCAACAAGATCCTTTTACAAGCACTGCTGTTCCAAAACAGGTCTGTACATAAGGATTTGAACAGGCCATGAGATATCAGCTCTCTGTTCTATTTTGTCTGTCTTCTGGGAAACAGACTTGCCTAGCAAATTTGCAGTTGTCCTTGGGCAGCTGACTCCAACCCATACAGAGCAATAAAGCTTAAAAAAAGTCCAAAATGACTATATGGAAGCACATACAGGGCTCCAAAGCATGCAGTACAGTGGCTCTGTCCTACAGAACACACACAGCTTCCATCAGTACTGGCAAAACAGCAGATGTTCATTACCTTGGTAATGGTGAGCACAATGTCAGTGGATGTTACCAGTGGCTGAGGGTTTCCTAGCAGCTTATAGCCAACCACCTCAGGAAGCACCATGCTGATTGGCTGGCCCAACATCACTGCTTCTGCTTCAATGCCACCGACACCTGTAGGCAACAGGAGTATACAATCCAACCATGCAGAGAGATAATAATGTGTCAAAGATAAATCCATGAAGTACAACTGACTGATGATTACTCAGTTTCAGTGGAACTGAATTGCAAAAGGGGAGAGGAGGCAGACAGCCAGAGGCTTAGCCTTCTTCTAAGAGGCACACCTCATCTTGCTTCAGTTTCTGCACTGCTGGGCTTTTTAATTTCTTTATGTTTCATACTTTCACCCTTGTTCCTCAGCCATTAGATAGGATATTATGTAAATCTCAGGAACTTACTCTACTTGGCTTTTACAATAACAGATGGAGAAGTTTTGTTTAATGAATTAAAGATGCAATGCATAAACAAAGAATGACTGATAGGGCATTGAACACGGTGTGCTGTGAGTGAAATGGATGCAGACCATGACTACTGGTCACCAAACAAAAACTGAAAAGTTACTTTGAAGGAAGGAAAAATACTAGAGTCAAAAGTATAGACTGTTCTAAAGAATACTAATAGAAAAGCTATTTGTTAAGACAAAAGTATCTTCCTTATGTCTATTAAGTTTCAACAAAGCTTGGGTATGTGCAGGTGGGAACCTTTGTGGAAGTACACCTTCAGTATTAGAGGAATGCAATTACAGTGACTATTTCATTTTGCTCATTTAATAAGGTAAAGTATCCTGATGCCATAGTCATATGAAATCTAAAAAAACACATTACGTTTACGTTTACTAGCAATTTGGCATTAGGCAGCAGTTTTACAACTTTTTACCTGTAGAAAGTCCCTCTCATGTTTATCTTCCACTTTCAAACCTCCTTCTACATTTTCTTTAGCTTAATTAATACTGAGCTAAAACAAACTGCCTCTAATAGTTGCTTATATGTGCCAAACCACTACTGCTATCCTTTTCCCCACTTAATCTCATAATGGTTCTGAAAAATAATTTCCAATTTATTTTATGCTAAATTATACACTCATATTAATTAAAAAGAATTCTGTGACAGATCCAATCATGTGACTCCTTTCACTAGGTGCAGAATCATTTGTAAACAGTCAAGTTAGTTGACATGACTGATGGGCTACCACACCATAGACAGACATGAAGCAAGCTCAGCATTACCAGCCACTAGCACAAAATGCTGGATCCAAGAGTGTGCACTTTGAGCACATATGTTATTGACTATGCCCAGCCATACTTCTCAAATTCTGGATTAAAATGAGGCTAAGTTTACAGACGCACTCTTCTAAGCAGCTAGTGGTGTTGTGACATCATCCAAATGATGGCCCCCTGTGAAAGATGCAACCAACTACAGAATAAGAGACACCCCTCATCCCAAAGATGCCACAGCTTTAAATGAAGTGGA